CTTGAAGAAGGGAGTTCATAATGATTAATACCTAGGTAAGACCAATGTTTCTATCAAGGCAACATAAAATCATTGCCTCCCCTTTTGTGGTGGTGAATGCTTTGATGGATATAATAAAATTAGAAGGGTTTATGTTTTATTATTTAAGAAAGTTGATTGGATTGAAGAAGCATGTGAGCAGAGCAATTACTGAATTACAACAGAAAAAATATAAGACAGGATACCCAGCTAAGAATGGGTGCTTGGTAGTTGTTGACCAGTGCCCAAGGTGTGAGTTGATGGGATGATGGGATACAGAACTGGCAGGCAGAAGGCCTCCTTATATAGTAAAATATGAGTGATTTCAGCTGCAGGGAAACATGACAAGGGATTTGTGCTGGGCTGGCCTGGCTGCACATCATTGTACTGCCTAACACAGCCTAGCACTGCATGTACAAATTGTCAGAATCTCAGATTCATTTCTGCTTACATCCTCCCTTCTCAAATATTATCTCTACTACATTCTCCCTCCCCCCTTTCATTTTCCTCCTGTTCCTGTTCCCATACCTTTGTTAGTTCCTGTTATTGTCACCTGTTCCTGTTCCTGTCTCCCAAAAAAGTTCCTGTTCCTGTTCCTGTTTCCCATACAAGTACATGTTCCTGTTCACCAGGCCAAAAACAAAGGCAACATGTACACATTGCCTTGTTAGGTACAAAGGACCCTTTGTACCTAGCAAGGCAATGTGTGTGCATTGCCTTCACTTTAGGTCTGGTGGTTCCTGTCTCTGTTGTGTGTCACTTTGTGTCATGTGTCTGAGCGATTAGGCCCCCTTTGATCTTGTAAGGGGGCTCTCTAGTTTTCTCCTCTTAAGCTTGCTTTCTCAGATTAAAATCAAGAATTGAGCCTGAGATACATCCATCAAGAACTGTCCTAGTAAACAGCTCTTCTTTCAACCTTCCCTACTGAAAATCTAACACAATTATCCTGCAGTCCTTTGATATTCAAACAGAATAGAAGTAATTCAATATTCAGGAAATGGATCACCTTGTGGTTTGTGTTGAAAATTCTCTGCCCCATCTATCTCAAACCTTCCTCATCCTGATCCTCTGTTATTGTGCTCAGAGACTCAAAAGTTCAACAGTTTGGAATTTTTAATAGGAACTAAATATATATATGCATAAAGCATGTAATATGGTTGATAATGAAGAAAAATACCCCAAACAATTGAGGATGAAAGTGGGCTGATCCACAACCAGCTGGGCCACAGGTTGGGTTTGGAAAATTAAATTCCTTAAAAGGCAAAGTTATTACCTGTATATTTTTGGTCAGGTTTGGACAGCTGTATTGAATTTAACATCAGCCCAAATGACTGCATTTGTTGTGCCCCGATATCACAAGATATCCTCACCAAATTTTAACCTCAGCCCTCTGTCACCATGGCTCCCTCCAGGCATTCCAAGAAGGCAACTTCAGGCCCATCATCCTCAACTGCAGTCACTACCGCCACTGAATCCAACATTCTCAATATTTACAAAGACCATACCACCAATATACCCATCATTTCAGCAAACAAATTCCAAGATACCACTTCCAAGATGCCTGTACACAACTTTTGAAATGCACAAGAAGATAAAAAAAACCTAGGAACGCTTGGAGAAATTATTGAAAGAAAGTCTCTGGTAAGTTTTTCCATTATCAAAAAAATTCTTACAATTAATGACTCACTGTCATCTGATACATCATAAATCCTTGAATTCCAACTCCCAAAAGGTGATACTATGGCCAAGGCTATTTGAAAGTATTACTGTTAGAATTAGAATTGAATTTTTCAAACATTTATCAAGAAAGATCACCATGGGCAGGATTTGAACCTGCAACCTGAGCTAGAATCTAAGACATTATACTATAAGTGCTGCCTTTACCAACTAGGCCCATAGATTGTGCCTGAGATGTCAATTTTATAAAATATGGCTTCATCTCATTTGGATACATAAGCTCACAGAATTAAGTTTCACACAAGCCAATATATTTTTGAGACACTATGTATTAAAAGATATCAATAATTACCAAGCTTTGATGATGGGCAAGAGTTCATGTGGGAAAACCCACCTGTGGCAACATCTCAATCAATGCGGCTCTTACATCAGCAAGCCCAAGCAATCTCTCCTTGATTTCACATCCAGTACTCCCAAATAAACTTGGATCTTCCCTCAGAAAACATCCTGGGACCTTTGTACAAAGATGGCCATACTTAATGAGTATCCCTTGAAGTCACAAGCTCTTCTGAGATTCTTTTGCATCTATTCAACCACAATTGAAGCTAAATTCTCAAACCACTCTGAAAGACAATTTCATGGAAATGTATGATTCAATGAAGAAACAAATCTCACAATAAATTTCCACTCTTGATCAAATATCTATACCAATGGATCTCTGGACCTCCTAAAATCAGAAACCTTTTATGGTTGTGACCACACATTTCATCACCTCATACTGGATATGTACTAGGCCGGTCATTAAATTTAAAGAGCTACCCTCACCTGTGAGAATTTTAGTTTTTATCTCCTTCCTATTTAGATACAGCTGATGAAAGAATGAATTGCACTCTGAAACAAGGAATAAAAAACTTGATAATATCACTCTACAATACGTTTTCTGAGATACAAGATGTTGTGGCCCTGGACAAGGAGTTTATTGGAGGAGGGTTGTCGTAGTGTTGTGAGTCTTAAAGTGGCTGAAGATGTTGGTTTGAGTTGTTTGTTCTTCTTCAGGTGAATTCCCAATGAGTTGACAAGTTCAGACTTCAATCTTCAAAAATGAATTAGTCACACTGTGGATAATGCATTCTACTCATCTTGCACTCAGGCTGTGCCTCAGTTGATAGATTTTCTGTCAGCCCTAGAGATACTCCAGAGTATCCAAAAGCCTGCATTATAGTATTTTATCTCCTTTAATATTGAGAAATCATGTAATTTTATTCCAGAAATGGATTTCTCATGTAATTTTACATAGGGTTACCCACTGGGCCTACCCCCAAATTCATACTCCTTATGGTACTTTGTCACAACTCAAAGTACCACAAGTATTATTAAAATAATTATTGCTGTGGACTGTGCAGCAAATAAGTACATAAAATATGTACATAACATATGTACATAAAATAATGAAATATGTACATAAATAAGCATTGAATATAGTTCAAATCTTATTTATACAGTGAGAGAGGAGACTTCTGCTGGATTTCAATTATAATACAATCCCAATTGTATACAATTATATTGTAGTACA